TTTGTGTCATTTTAAACATAAAACGGTTATTATGAAGTTTTCTCTAATGTTGGTCGTTTTCGAGATATGGTATAAGTGATATAATATTTGAAGACCGCAAAATAGGCGACCAATGTGAGAAAAAAGAAAATTTTAACGTTTTCAAAGTTTCAGAGTATTCTACGAACACCCGTTAATGATATATCGAAGCATTTCGGAGAGTACTTCAATTGTAAGCTTTCTTTAATTGTTAACCAAACGCGCCTTCAATGTATATTCTGCATGAAAGAGAGAGAGAGATAGATCTGTCAAGGCTGGTGGTCACCCTATTTTTGTATACCAAAGCAGGTTAACTCTGCATTTCTCGTCCTCGTACAGGATATACATTGAGCGCGTGCTTGATTAACAATTAAAAGACGAAGGCCTATAAATCGCAAAGCTCTCGTCATCTTTTTATTAATGGGTGTTTGAAGAATGCTTAAGAACCCTTGCGACATTATAAGCTTTGTATTTCCACATTTCCTGTGTCGAAAATGGCCTAGGGACCTTTTTTGATCAGAATGCTTATGCGAAAAACCGAAACAGAAAATTATTCCTGCAGCATTATACGAAATTTTAAAATATTTTATGTCATAATACTAAATCCAGCAAGTTTACGCAACAAGTGTTTTCAGAATTTTGGTGAGCATTCCAACCGATACAAATACCAGCGACTATCAAGAACTTTTGACAAAATGAACTTTTTGCTGTCGGTAGTAGCGGCTGTCAAACTGAAGCAATCTTCAAAGAATCGATGCATTTTTTCTCTCTATACCGGGTTCATATCTTACTTCACCGAATTTTCATCTCAACATTTTGCTAAAAATTATTTTGACGAATAAAAAAACGTCGAAAACCGCACAACTCGCCGATACTAGAACAAAGAACACACTATCCAGGCACTACAAACTCATCCCCAGATCAAGAATAAGCATTAGCAGCGTGGCACATACCGTTGTATCGCGTCGTGCATTTTTGGTTACGGCGACTATTTTAGCCGACGCCGCGGATAGCGTCGGTTCCGTCGCGGCGCTGTTAAGCCGCGTCGGCGTACGGATGCCCCCTCCGCCCCTCTGCAAGCCCCCGCTGGCCAACCACATGGCTTATTTGGGCGACGGCGGCGGACGCGCCTTACATGGACGCTTAGCGCGTCCAGACGCCAAGCCGAGTTCCTGGCAGCGGCGGGCGCACTAAGGGTTGAAATATTAGGGGAAGATTGCACAAATTGGTTAAGGCTTTCGCGGCCAGTTGATAAACTGCTGTCCTGATTCGGGTCTAAAGGACGTCGTCGGTTGGAATTTCTCAACGTTTCGGTCTACATCCAGCATCCACGGTTTTTAGACCCGAATCAAGACAGCAGTTTGAGAATATTTCAAATGATTAAAATGACTTTTCCTACTGATACTATTAGACACAAATTTAAGATTTGAATGTCATATTATGAATAAACTCAAATTATAATAATGACAATAAATCGCCATTTAGGGGGCGAAGCATAGCAATACAATTGATCAAAAAAAAAAACAATTAGGGATACAAAAACATGAAAACATTTGAAGATACAAGTGGATATGTATATTTTTTTAAATTGCTTATTTTTCCATTAAACTAACCTTAAAGGCAATCTTTTATTCTATGATTACTTTGTTGCAAAGACAAGATAATAAACTAATTAAACTATATATTTAAAATGTCAATTAAGTAAAAAGTCCCAATGAAAAATATTTGAGGTCAATTTTCCCCATACAATAAATTTGTTACATGACACCTTGTGTCTTTATTTGACGAGTTACAAGTTAAGAATGTAGGTATATGAAAATACTCGTATGACGTATATAACACATAAGTGAAGGATTTTCAATATTTCAAATGTTAGAAGTATAAATTAAGACAGCTACAGAAGCAAAAGAATGTTATATTGGAATATTTGTGTGAGGTGACAGATGCATTTTAGCAACTGATTTATGTACATACATTCAAAATAAATTTTTCATATGTCTTTTAAATTTGTCGTATGACAGTAATTTTGTAAAAAATAACGTTGTAGGTGAAGCATTTACGAAGGGATGATGTCCTGTGAAGGGGCAATGTGAGTGTTTCCCTGAATGAACATAGAATGAAGACACTTTGGATATATAAACACATATTGACAAGTGATATTGAATTAAACCGATAGATCCTTACACATTTAGATTATGGTGCCACAGTTTAGTATAATTTCCTTACAGAGGGAATAAAACAAAAATTCAAATTTTACAGAATCGTTTCATAAGATTTCATAACAATGATATAGGTAGACAAGAGCACGTCACTCTTTTCTATATGAGAGAAGATATTTTGAAAAATTTCATTGCTTTTTTATGGTGCTCTATTGTATAAAGTTTTAAGATATAAATCTCCTGATTACCTGTAAAGTAATAATGTATTCCCCATGTTTTTCTAAGAAACAATGATTGTTATAACGTTCCGGCCACGTAACATCTGAATTCAAAAAAGCTTCCACTTGCACAGTATCTTATTTGTTGAATAAATATTTAGAACTTTACAAATTACGTCTAGTTATAACCTTAAAAAGGAAATTAAGAAGGTGCTTCTCCAGGTACAAGCTTCTGAGGCTACATATTATTAGTTAGCCTCCATTATACTAACTCTATGTAAAATTAGTAATAAGATGAAGCTCAGGACTATATAAATAATTAATGTTGCTGATTCTCTTTGTAATGTCAGTAGGCGCCAGTGAAAAATTGCAATGCCAATCCTCGGCCTTTTGGAGTGTTGTTAATATTTATCTTTATTTTAAAGTGCTCCAATAAACATTATTATTACATGAAATCCACTTGCCGCTTTTTACCAAGGAGTCGAAAAAATGACTTATGCCCTTTTAATATTTGCCAGATGTAAGGGCAGTGATAAGAGTATATTTTAAAATAAAATTCAAGAAATGCTGGCAGGGGCAGGCGATAAAAAACCTGGAATCCTGCGGTAAATTGTCTGTAAGAGCAAATCCAGTCATGACCTCTCCTTGTCTGGGCGAATCGAGATCGACCACTAATATTCTTTGAACCCTGATAGATACCAAAGCCTGCCAAATATCGTCCTGAACATGCATCTTGCCACCAGCACTGCCCTCCTCCCTCCCAATTCAGCTTATTAAAATCTGTCACTCAAAGGTGACTCTCTGGACACGAAGGGTGGATCTGCCCTTATTCACACAAAGGAGGTGGATTCCTTTAAATATTCTTAGTACAATGGGAGATCATCTGATAGGACAGGAGTGAAGGTACATTCACATATCGAGGAAAAAGTAACTGAAAATGAGAAGGGGATTTCGGTTTCTCGAACAGTACAGGAAATGTACTTCAAAACCGTAACCCCCATTGCGTTATACTAGAAGTATGTTTTAATGTCTCGGTGTAATATTAAGTATCGTTTACTTTAAACGTGCATTGTTTGAAACATTAAAAATCGAACCCCTGTTTGAGAATGTTTCCTCATCAGCTTTTACTTTTTAATTTGATACAAAGTACATATACGTATTTATGTTTTTGTTTACAGATAGGGAATCGCAAATGTACAATTACTTTACTGTCGCATGTTTTCTTATATTACACCTTCTTGTGAATTATGACATCAATAGCTTCTTCATTCCAGATGGAATTAATTTCCTTTTATTAGTTTTTCCAATTATGCTTTTATGCAGATTAGACCGTAAATCAGGATCCTCTGAGACGTTGAAGACCTAAGTTTGAGTGATTAGATATAAAAGTCATACTATTTTCGTTCATATACCTAAAAGATTCCGGACTCATCCTAAATTAGCATATATTCCATGTTTTTTTTCGTTGATGTCTTAAAAACTGCCTCTCTTCAAAACAAAAAGTAGCATTTGTAGAACTGAAAAACAATACTCTTACAGTACCTCATGTTGTATGTATTCATTGAATCGAAAATTTCCTAAGTCCCGTTACTAAAAGCATGTTTTAATGCCTCGGTGTAGTATTAAGTATCGTTTACTTCAAACGTGCATTATTTGAAACATTAAAAATCGAACCCCTGTTGAAAATTGTTCCTCATCAGCTTTTACTTTTGAATTTGATACAAAGTATATATACTTATGGTTTTCTTTACAGATAAGGAATCGCAA